GGGGGGGAGGGTCTCCACTGCCGAAGAGGACAAGCCTTCGGCCTCATAGCTTCCCACACTAAAAGTGTCAGATTTCCGAAAAAGTTGCTTTCTAACTTGCAGGTATTTCTTTTACGACAGCACGAAAAATGATTTTGAATGGTCGCGCTCGTTAAAGGGTTATAGCTTGCTAAGTTGCCAACCTGCTTTGTGGAGAAGTAGAAAAGAAAAAGAAGTTTCCTTCCCCTTCCTTAAAATCAAAATAAAAGCAGCCGACAGTTGCAGCCCTGTAGCCAGCCGAAAGCAAACATGGCAGTCAAAGAAGCAGTTGCTAAAGGGATGAGCGTGCTTCTTGGAAAATGTGTACCCACCGTTAAAACTAATGCTTCCAAATTTCAAGTGAAGAGGATGGTGCTGGATACGTATTTGAACATGGTATTGGCGTGTGCTACGCAGAGACTGATTACTAAGTTAGGTTAGGTTACTTTTATTATTAGGAGTAACTCTTAACTCATTTCTTATTTTCTTGCTGAACAGTATTTTCATGAACATGAGTACATATATGCCCATGATCCAGAAAAAATTTGCAAAACTGGTGACACGGTTCTTCTTAAAAAATTGCCTCAAAAAATGACTACGTTGATTACTCACAAAGTGGATAGAATTGTTTATCCACTAGGAGATGTCACAGACCCAGTCACTGGTAAAAAAGTTACCTTTATACACTATCGGTAAGTGTCCAAAAGTTTTCTTCTCAAACAGTTAAGTAGTAACAGTGTCAAACTAATGCGTTACTATTCCATCGCAGAGAACATCAAGACCAAGAGGACGCATTATATGGTGCTCTACCAACTCGCTTCGAATATGACAAAGCACCTCCAAGAGGATGGCAAGAGGACAAGAGAGATTTGACTCATAGGGAAACTTACATTAAATATAATGAAGATGGTAAAGACCAGAAATATGCAGTGTAATTTGTCTTCATTTGGATCACAGAGAACCTGTAGGTTCAGTTTAGGCTTGAAATTTGAACAAATATTTTGATACTGATGTGTAAATATAGATTGGATTGATAACCATAGACTCAAAAATAAAATAACGTGGTTTACAGAGGAAATTATCTTAGGGTTCAATTTTACCAGTCAACCAAGTTAAAATTGTTCAGCCAGCTGAAGTGACTTATATATTTACACATTAACAGAACTTCAACAATCCAGGATTTAACATGCAAACAGATTTGTACTTCTTATCTTCATCATATTACACCCCAAAAAAATCTAAAAATAAAGTTTTTGCTCAGGAATATTGATAGTTATCAATAACTGCTATGGCTATGGCCAAAGTAATAACAAATAGAAATTGCCTTTAAAATTATATAATTTTTTCTTTCTAAAAAGACTGCTGGTAGTTAAGTTCTTACTTTGTTTTTTGGAGAAGTACTATAACTTAGGGCATGTGAAGATAATTCATTTTTCACATCACACTCAGGCCCCAAAATAACCATCACAAGGTGTGACTTTTTCCACAGTTTGAGCATTTGCACCTTGTGCAACAAATGCTGACAATGAAATGCACTCTTAAATGCTGTCGTAATTCAAGTACATTCAGTAATGGCACCTAAAAAAGCTAATTTAGTTTTGTCCAAAAAAAACAAACAACACAATTTAAAAAAGATAATTGAAAGAATACAAAAAAAAAAAAAAAATCAAAAAAAATGACAGCTTTACAATTCAAAGCTACATCATACCGATAATTGAACTAGTTGCTAAGAAGAAAGATAGTTCTTGACTAGTCTTTTGATAACAGAAGTATGAAAGGTAACAAAGCTGGTGGATTAAGTCTCATAATTGGAGGCCCCTCACCTCAACTCATGCTCTGACTGGCTAGCACAGCTTAGCAAACCAATCAGTCCTCAAAACCTGAGGTGAGCTGCCTCTGCTTAGAGGTGAGTCTAAATTTACAATTAAGGTTTAAGTAAAGGAGATTAACAGTGCAGCCAGTGCCCACACATTGGCAACTTTTTATTATTGCTTACTGATCAACCAAAATTCCATGGAAATTTAACACATGATTTTGTGCAATATTCCACACTTGTCAAAACAAGGACTACAAGCAAATCAGTTGCATTGTAAAAATTTACAAACATGCAACATAATATGAATGCTCAGATTTTATGCTTGATTTTGAAAGTTATAATACTGCATTCCATTCTACATTCTATGTTTGTACAATAGGTATCACTGGTTAAAACTGAAAACTGGGCTCAAGTCAATTCATCAAATGTGTAACAACAAACATTCACTCATAGATGAAATCTCACAAAAAAGTTTCTTCAAATCCAATGGCTAGACCAAGTATAGACCATATAAACTAGTAATGCTCAAAGCAGTGCTATAATAAACAACAAGAACAGAATCTAGAATAAAACTAACAAAGAGAAAAATTGCATTCATCCTTTTCTCTTCAAGTGACAAGTAAAAATGGATAAAACCTCCCATTTATAAACACCGGAATTGTTTTTAAAAATTGCTATAGTTAGGGTACTTAAAAAAAAAACATACTGGAAAACAGAGAAAGAAATTTCAATTCCATAGCACAAAATTTGTGTACAGAAGATTGTCTTCGTAAACAATGATTACAAACACCACATGACTAAGCATTGCAAAAGTTGGTATAACAATTAAAATCACAGTCATGAAGATTCATCCATGCAGGTAGGTCCATGGCCTTTGCAAGAATAGAGAAAGGTTGTTTAGAGCATTTGTTCTCAAGAACAGCAGTCATACTCCCTAAACATGTTCCCTATAAGATCCACAAAGGAAATCTTTCATCATCCTACATGCTATGTGACAAGTTACAGTACAATATCAGTCATTCATGAATAGAATTAAATCCTGCATATCAAATTGAATCTTTATAGGACTGATATTTCCCATCTCATTCCAAAATGTATACAGGAAGCAACAGATGAATATTCACACAGAACATGTGCAAAGATTCTTTGGTATATCAGCAAAGCAAATGGGTTGCTTTTGGCCCAATGCTAACAGTATTCAAAACCATGAGCAGAAAAGTTCACAACCAAATTGAAATTCAATTGTAAGAAAAGATCTCCATAACTGTTCTGAAATTTTATAGTTATCAAGGCAGCACTTTGACTACGATGGTAACTTGGGTAACAAGCTTATAAATATGACTCAGGACAAGAATTCTCTCTCTAATGCTGCACCCATCATGTTCCAATCTCCATCGTCCATCTCATCAGGATCAGGTGGGTCTTCGGACCCAGGACTTTCAGACCCATTTTCACCAAGATCAAGATCACTCGGAAGGGCTTCTCCTCTCCTAAATTTAGTACTTGGCATATCTTCACCCTCCTCATCGCCATCAGATTCAGTAGGAGTTCCAGTCCCTGATTTATATTCTTGGCGCTTCCTCTTTAAGTCATGTTTGCCCCAACCATGAGGATGTTCACCTGTGAAAAATAAAAGAATGTTGAAAACTCAGTATAAATACCACAACCAGTAACTTGAGAAGTACATGTAAAGCTTTAGGACTTCTTATATTTTCTTACCTGAAAGAGAATCTGCAGAAGAACTACTAGAATCAGAATCATCCTCAAGTTTCTTCCTGGCAGGTGGCAACTCAGGAGGTTGACTGTCTCCCTCACTCTCTAATTCCATCTCAGGAACAGGTGCAGCTTTAATCATTTCACTTTTCTCTTCCTCTTCTCCATCACTTTCAGAATCATCTGAGAGGTCATCAACCTCTTTTCCCATTTTAGCAATTTCATCTGATGAGAAAGACACAAATAGCAAAGGATTTATGGTATCCATAAATCTGCCACTTGCTGTTCTGCTTCTGCCAGAGCTGCAAAGTATGATGAGTCAAGTAGATTTAAAAAAAGACCTATTGTATTTAACTCCTTACATTTCAAATCACATTAACTTGATTACCTTGTTGATGGTTCAGAGGTAGTTTCCCTGGCCCCTGAAGTGTGTTCAGGGCTCCCACAATGAGGTGGAGGATGCCTAGTTCCTGCTCGGTTTCGGCTTAAAGGAAAAACCTTCTCATCAACACGTTCCCACCTTTCAGCACTGACCCATAACCAGTCTGCTGTGACCATAAAGACATTTTTCATACGCCGTGCTGAATTCACCTAAAAGTTAAAATAGCAAATAAAATTCAACTATAAAAATTAAGGAAAGTTTTTAAAAATGTTAAATTTTTTAAAAAAAAAATACCTTTGCAGTGCCTGGTCGTACCGCCACTAAATGAGTGGTGTTCTTTTTTAAATCTTGCGTTATGTTAGCGCCCAAGGAGACGGCAACTTGAAAAGCTCTACTCTTTTCCAAAGGTATATTGTTTGGAACTAAGCCACTGAATACCAAATTTGTACCCTTCAGAACTCTTCTACGAACAGAAGGGATGATGTTCTTCATATCTGGTCGCCTACCGGCATCCATTCTGTCATAAAACTCTTTGTGTATTCTTTTCAATATTTCTTCCAGGTAAAGGAGATAATCATCGTGATCAGGCACTTCAATTTCATCATTACAAGGCTTACTAATTTCTTTTTCAGAGGTTTCTTGATTACAATCCAGAACACTTTTACTGCAGTTTAAAGATTTCTCTTCCTTATACTGCAATCCAGGGTTGACAGCCTGGGCTTCGGTTTGATTATCACTTTCATTGGATCCTCCTTCAGTAGATTTAATATCCCCATCCTGCTGAACTTCATTATTTCCAGCTGTTTTAGTATTGGCACCAGATGTCTGAATTTCCAATTTTTTAGTAGCACCTGCATCTTTACTGTCTTCAGGAAGTTTGTCAACATCAACATTCTCCTTTGTTTTACAAGTGCTATCTTCCTTTTTCCCTTCTTCAAGGATTTGTTCGCTGTTTTCTTGTTGATCAGGGGAATTTCCACTGGTACACTGAGGTTGATCTACTTTGGGTTGACATGATTCTTCTTCAGTGAGTTTTTCAGATTGTTTACAGCTTTCTCCACTCTCAGGTTGTTTTTCCTCTGAAGATGTTTCATCACTATTCTTTTTCACTAGATCAATTGCGTCACACTGGGATATCTGACCAGGTTCATCTACAAGATTAGGACGGAATATGTCCTTACCCTTCTTTCCATCCCCTGGAAGAAGGTTCACATGTATTACTACCCAATACAGAAGTGGCTGAATGTAGTCAAAGAAAAAGAGATACATACCAAGACAACTAAAATCATATGCACCCTTGTCATCATTTTCTTGTTTTGATAAACCGGGAGGAGCATTAATATCACCAGTATGTTGGAAAAAGTGATAAGGCTTGACATGGATTAAATTTGGGGCAAAATTCCAGACATCTTCACGATCATCAATGATACATACCATCTCATCCCCACAAGGAAATAAGGCTCTAAAACACAGGGAACAAAAATATGTCAAATAAGGTGTTTAGGTAAGGCCCAATATGATAAATTTGATTTTCTTAATAAGATAACAGATAACTCACTTTAAGTTTGCTGTTTTTGAGTTAGCACTGACACATTCATCTCTAGATAAAATACGATGCGAAAAGTATTGTCCATCTGGGTCTAAGAACATTGCAATCTTGTGTGCATACATTCTAGAGCCAAAGGTACAAATATGCAGTTCATAATATTTGCTCATCTCTTTCAAAAAGTTTTGGGTACCAGGTCGAAGACGAGTATGATGCCAGGGGGACATACTTCCATGTAATCTAAAGTGGTATACATCCTAAACAAATGATCAGAAAAATTGCATAAAAAGACAGCACAATACCATTTCCCTTATGATAGGATTTTAACAATTAAATTAACTCTCTGCTCCATACCTTTAGATTTGGTGGTATGTTGTCATTAGTTGTGTGAATTAGAGTTTGATCCAAATCAACCAAAAGTACCAGTTTTTTAGTAGCCAAGAGACGCTCTTCATCAGCCTTACCCAAAATTTGTGCTTGCTGTCAACAGAACCATGGCAATTTATGTAAACTGTACCCTCAAGTAATTTAAACCACAAGGTACCACAGGACTTACTTCTGCATTGACTTTCAGCTCTGGAATACTATGGATCATTGGGATAGAGGCAACATTATCATCATTACAGCTTTCTTCATTGCGTAGGTCAGCCCCACACTCAGCACACATATCCTTCATAACAGTTGGGTGTGTGCATTTTTCTAGCTCCAGGAGAGGGTGTCTACACAGGAAGGATAAAAATTATTCTATTTGTACCTTTCAAAGAATATACACTGACACCTTGAACAAGAGTAAAGAATAAAGGCACCACTCTGATAAGAATGTAAAGGTTCACACTCGGAATAAAAGCGTTATTATGCTAACAAACCTTCTCACAGGACTTCTGATACAATTTTGAAAATTTGACAAATTTGGAACAGATAGAACCATTAAGGGTATTAGTTAGAAATTTATAAAAGACAACCACTGGAAACAAGGTGTGTGCTTGTAATTTCTGATCCAAATAGAGAACAGAAACAAGAAACCAGTAGCAATACTGAGAAATTCTTAGTAAGAACAAACATTAAAGATAGGAAAGTAAAATGACAAAGATGAGTGACAAAGCTTTGATGACCAAAGAAAGGTGCCAAACAATTAGTGCAGGAAATTGACACAATAACATAACCTCTACGGCCAATGCTATCAGGACAAATAGTAATCGGAAAGAGGTTAACAGGCGTGATAGAAACAGAAAGTTTTGTCAGGGACTACTTGACTGAATCCCAAAAGCTTCAAAAGTAATTGTCTCAGGTATAAGTAATAACCTACCCTGGTTGAACAACATCTCCCTCCTTCACTAGCAGCTTGCGCACAGTACCGACTGCAGTTGCCTTTAACTTTTGTATTTCGGGCTTTCCATTGCCAGGACTTGGGTCGTACAGAAGTATAATGCGTCCAATGGACACGATTGTACCCTCTTTTACTTTCCATTTGGAAATTTTTATACAATTTTCCAAAGTTAGAGAGAGAACGACAGAATTTACGCTCATCGTGACAAACTCGCGGTGCTGTTGGGAAGGAAGGAAGTGAGGATACGATTGGTGGGAATAATAGGTATGGCGTCTTCAACCAATCCCAGAGCTCGTTTCAACCTACCGGTCAGGCACCGGACAGATTTGAATTTTCATGTGTTGTTTGTGTTGTGTACCCTTCACCAAGCCCTTACTTTTGGCCAAAATGGCAAAATAATGTAGATCCTGTCCGTCCGTTTAGTGTGTACGAAAGAAGCACATTGTTTTCTACTATACTGCTTAGCTGTCACCTGTAGTTAATGGGTAAGTGTAGCATTGAGATAGATTTTATGGGTGTGGGCTGGTGTTTCTTTTCAAAGTTGTGGTTAAGGTCGATTATTCTCTATACCTACAACATATGTTGCATTGAACCTTATGGATAAATTTTATTATTATTACTTAAGAGCTTGTAACTCCCTATTTCTGATAATGATGAGGTGCATTTTGTCAAAATTTTGCCAAAGTTATAAAATGCAAACTTCTGTCCATTCCATTTCTGTCAGAAATTTCCATTTGCCTCCTAATTTATTGGCTCGATTGGTTGATTTACAGACAGCTTCCATAATGAGCTTTTCATTGCCCTCACCTCCGAGAAGGATGAGGAGGAGAGAACAAAGTCACAATACCATTGGATTAACTGCCCCCAAAGCAGTATCAACTCCCTACAATACTCCGTTCAAAAGCAGGAACCAGAGTTTACGCTGTCCCAATGTAATAGATAAAAACACTAAAAAAGCAGTCTCTCAACTTAAAGGTACTGTCATTTTATTTCTCTCATCTTACTGCCCTTACCTGTCCTCTTTTAATCATGTGTGTCTTTCTCATTAGATCTTCTCAACAAACAATGGTATATTTTCAATGTATCTCCTTTATTCAACATGGATTATACTGAAGTTTCCTTAAAGCGTTATGCACGCCGATTGAAAACTAAACTCACATCTAGGTTATCAGATTCAAGTGCTGTTGAATATGAAGTGTCTTATGCACCATATAAAAATTTACAATTAAATGAAATTGATCATGGTGCTATTGAGGTAAGTAAACATAATCTTCAATTCTTAGTATATTCCATTTCTTTTTCGATTAAGAAAGTATATTACTTAAATTGTAGGTACTGGTTGAAAAAATGACTGAAAGTGGCAATCGCTCTATTGCTTACTATGCTATCTTGCTTTCTTGGGGAGCATCAAGTGAAATGCAGCCTGAAAATGCGGTATATCTACCAATACTTATTTGTCGTGGCTTGAAAAGTAAGTTGCTTCATAATACAGTATATACCTGCTTCATTTCTTAGTGTCATCTAATTTTATTTTTTTAAATATATTTTTCTAGGTATAATAAAACAAGTTCACACTGAATTTCAACTGGTACACGACTGTTTTGTAAATTCTATTCATATGAACGCTGAAGAAATGAGAATTCTCAGCATTGACATTTTTGACAGTTCATCATATCAAGAAGATGAGATCAAATTAAGGTACCACTTACCGCAAAATATGAAGTCTGGTGAATTAGACATTTCTCTTCCCACCTTTGTATTATCTAATCTGTGGAAAAGGTAAGAAATTATTTTACACCTTTAGCAAAGACTTGTGCCCCTACTTGTGGTTTTAGACTAATTATAGATGTTTCAGCATTCATAAGCATAAGGAGTGGACCGATGAAGAAGTCACAACATTTTGGGTGGAAATTCATAATCACACCTATCGGGCATTTGGCATAGAACTAGGACACTGTATTTTGGCCAAAGTTACATTACCCGACATATCATTTACTCAAGAGGCAGTATGTATTCAATCATATTGATTTCTGCATTATTTTATAATACTTCCTTATTACATAAAGTTTATACCATGTTTCCAGGTGTATGTGAAGAAGAAAGAACATATGTATCTCTTTTTGAGTCACTTGATGAGCTTGTGCAACCATCTAACAACAGTTGTCCCATTTGTACATGAAGTTTCATTGCCTAGTTCCTCAAGTTAAAAGTTACCTAACCATACCTTATTTTACGATTTAGGACATTTTATGTTTTTAAAAGTGTGTTGTGTGTGTAAAAATTGGAGCGTGTGCTTAACTGACGAGAAATCTGTTAGGTTTATTTTAAGAAGAATAATTCATTTTTATCAATTTTATTGTACTTTAGAGAAATCTTTTTATACGTTGAAATGTAGTCACTTTAATTTAATGAAATGACAATACACTCTCTTTAAGTAACACATTCGATGACATTCTCCACCTCCCAGATACGATTGGTTTGCTTTACTTATCTATCCTTCAAATATCTGGTTCACTTGATCAAAGGTACTACAAATTAAAAGTTCAATGTGGTTGTAAGAACACAAAGAGAACCTAAGAAGGCAAGATACAAAAGCCCACACTAAACAATTAATTTAGAATGGGATATTGAGGGGAATGTATACAAATGTGCTTTGATCAAACATTAACTTGATTTCCTGAAAAAATGACCAGCAAGGTGTGTATAACACTAGATAGATTTAAAAAAAAACAAAAAAAAATCAACAAACAACAAAACTCTTTGTTTGATGCAGACAAGAAGATCAGTAATCAAAAACATATAGGGCAACCACTGGGAGTGCTGCTGAATCAAATTAGAGTGTGATGGAGAAGCATCGTTAGGACTAGGAAATGTCACACCAATCTTACATTGAAGCCAACTAATTACAATATAAAGTATTCAGATTAACTTTGGTAACACCCATGCAGCCCAAAATAATGGGGCAACCAACATTCATTCAAGTTTCATATCCTTACATCAATGAACCAATTCTCAAACAGAAAACTTATCAATGAACCATGTCTTGAAAACAGAAACTTAGGAATAAAAAAATTTCAATGAACTGCAGAGCTAAAATACAGTAAATTCATCACACTGTTCATATAAAGCTAAAATGAAACAAAAACTAATGTCTATTAGTCACATGTTCACAAAAGACATCAGTCAAATACTCACACACAAAAAAAGAGGAGGAATTGGGAAAGATACATTAACGTACCAAAATGCAAAACTTGTGTAATGCTCTTGCTCATGTTTAATAAGGGAGGAAAATTCTGAAGAACATACAGGACAACATAAAAAAAAGGAAAGCTTTCATTGTGTTCTTTGTATGATAGATTTGACAGTAGTCCACACAGGGCATGAAATAAATGTTGCAGAAATGAGGGCAAACATGCATGATGCAGTACGTTATGAATCCTACTCTAGCACTGTCAGAATTGTACAGATCATTTAAATAAAAAGCATGCACTTTCTAAAAATCACATAAGAGGAAAAAACAAGTTTTGACATTGCAAACTGCCAAAAACTTGAAGTTTCGTTCACATGGTTTAAGTTGAGTCTTTATCTTCTGTTTGTTCCATACTCATAAGAGGCCAGTTTCACAGAATATAATAATATAACCTTATATTTAAGGAAGAATAGCACATCCAATGAGCTTTTACTGCTTACACTGCTCGTATAGCAAATAAATATGCCATCTTTTAATTTTCCCTTACTAGCATTGACCAACAATTAACAAAAATAGAGAGGTTTTGACAGAGCTGATCACTGGTTTAACTTCTTGAATTTGTGCTGGCCTTGGTCATGCTGCCATGGGTTTTCCGTTCCACTTGTGCAAATGCCATTGTGTCCTTAGCAGCAGCCACCACCTTGTCCAGCTCCCTGTCCGCTTGATGGCAGACTGGCATTTGTAGGTGAATGCTGCGGCCCGATCTTTATGCCATTAGCCTGAAAATTGATTTGAGCAGTCAGCACCTTTCTACTTGACAGATAGATAATCTCCCAAGATGGTAAATTATATACATACCTCATTATTGATGTCAAAGACACCCTCCTGAATTTTCTCATAGATCTCTTTAGCGGTATTGATGAAAGCTTCTTCAACATTTGCAGCAGTTTTGGCTGAAGTTTCCATGAAAATTAGACCATGTTCATGAGCGAATGCCTCACCCTCCTCCTTCTTCACTTCTCGGCGTGTTTCCAAGTCACTAAAAATTATAAAAAATTATCATTAATCCTATATCTCATTTGAATTGTCAACAAAACAACTAACAAGCAACTAAATGAAAATGCACAGGTAGCTATTCTTTATACCTTTTATTTCCAATAAGCATAATAACCATATTGGAATTTGAATGCTGGCGAGCATCTTCAAGCCAAGTTGTAAGATGGTTGAAAGTTTCCCGTCTGGTGATGTCATAAACCAGTAGGGCACCAGCAGCTCCACGATAATATGACCGTGTGATTGAGCGGAAAGCCTCCTGTCCTGCCTAAAATTTCAGATGATTTTAGAACACTACTAAGTAAGATTTCATGCTAACTTAAGTGGTAAAATTTGGATAGCATGCCAAACTCTGAATGCTTACAGTATCCCAAATCTGCAGTTTAATTTGCTTTCCATCAATGGTTATCATGCGTGCACCAAATTCCACACCTGAAAAAAAGCAAGAGTGTTTTCACACAGGTAATTACAAAATCTGAGGGTCACTGTGGTATTTAGAATAAGACACATACATACAAAACAACCGCTACATCATAAACAGAGTATGCTTTCTGGACAACTCTCTTATCAACCCACAACAGTGAGTTTTTGCTGGAGTCCAGACTTAGGTGCAAATAAACTTGGTGATAAACTTACCAATTGTGAGGTCATGAACAGGCTGGAAGCGTTTGTCAGTGAATTGGAGGAGAAGGCATGATTTGCCGACACCTGCAAAAAAGAGAGACACAATGCTGTAAGAAAAATCAGATATAGTTGCTTTTTTGACAGATAACTGCAATCTCTTGTCAACAATATGACCTATGGCTCTGAAGGAAAAGAGGTTCATCAAGAATTGGTCCAATTGTAGCAATAAGTGACATCACTGCCAGTATATTCACATTCACCATACAGTACTCCATATTTGTGTAATTTGATGTCAAAAGAGACCTAAGAGTCACTATCACATCAATTTGATGCCAAATTCCACAATCTGAATGTAATGAATGGTCACTAACTGGCGGAATGGTGACGAACTGGCTGAATGGTGACGAACTGGCTGAATGGTGACAAACTGGAGTGATGTGGCTTACTACATATGACCAATTCTTGATGAATCTCTGTTTCTTGTGCTTGATGGTGTTCCAAAATAAACAGTGAAAATGCAAAGGAAAATAGGGAGAATAGCTTTTCTTCAGAACCATAGTAAGAAAAGTTCAAAAGTGTTGTAGAATATTTGAGACAAATTCTGACACCATAATAAAAACCGAACCATTATCAGAACAATGCAATTGACAGAAGCAGAAGAAAGGGCGAATGGACACCTTATGGTGACAAGAACATCTGACAGTGCACTGGAGTTAGGTTCAGAAAAATGTCGATTGAAGAAAGAATACAAAATACACAATTCTCTCAACACAATCTTAGTTGGATTTCAAGCGGCAACGCACAGAAATCAGTCAAAGCAAACCCAGATTGCCTAAAATTTAGGCCTAAAACGTTCAAAACTGAAAAATCATGAATCTATTGTTCTTGGTGTAACTCACCTGTGTCTCCGATGATGATGTATTTGAACAAGTAGGCGTAAGACATCTTCTCGAGACGAAAAACGAATCTAATTCACAATAACCAGCAAACAGATTCTTACAGCTGACTTCACCCCTTCAGCAAGATATGGAATACTGTTCTGAACTGAAGCACTCTCTGCAGCTCTACGTCACGAAGTAAATACGCAGCAACCAATCAACACTGACGGTCGTCTTTTGTCTTCTGCCTTCTGCTGCTGTAACTTTTCCCTTGAAATTTAACTCTTTAATTTGGATAAAATTTAGTCGTATAGTTTTCGAATTATATTTTTTATTTTACTCTTCTAAACTTTATTCGTATCTTTATACGTAAACCGATACTACCTAGAAAATCAAAATTGGGATGGCAGCTTATTTTCACAAGTTGGTCATCCTTGTTTACTGTAAGTACAGTCACAAACAAGTAACATTGGGCCAGAATTTACGTAATTCATTCAATTTATCATTCAATTTATATTACTGGAAACTCGGCTTGGTTAGTAAAGAGTTAACTGACATCTGGTTGCGTAAGGTTTTGCTCGACTTTCCTTGTGTTACAAACAAAAATTCTTGTTCACAGAGCAGCCGGTTATGAACTTTCTTTAAAGTATTTTGCCCTTCTGCTTATTTTTAAGACTCGAGATTTCATCGAAAATGATGTGGTCAAGAGTAAAGTCATCGGTGGAGGTACGAATAACTGCTTCTCCTCTTGATATTCTGTCAAGACGACATTCCCTATTATTGCTATTATTGGTTATGTTTACATTACATTAATTTGACTTGAGTGTCTCGCTCTGAACTTAACATTAAAACCTACAATTTTTGCAGCTTTGTAAGCCGGCATTGGCTTTTATGAACGGAAGCAAGCTACTACATGTCACACCATCTCAACATCTGAACCTGGTTCCCATGGTCATAGAACAGACAGGGCGAGGCGAAAGAGCATATGATATTTATTCACGATTGCTTAAGGAAAGAATTATCTGCGTGATGGGTCCTGTGAGTTCTTCAGTAACTTGTTTGCTCATCAACTTGTTAAAAAGAAATAACTATCTAAATCCTTCCATTTTTCCACAGATTAATGACGATTTGTCATCACTAGTCGTGGCTCAGCTCTTGTTTTTGCAATCTGAGAGCAGCAAGAAACCAGTTCACATGTACATTAATAGGTATCTATCAATCAATTATTTATTACTTGCCTGACCTAATCCTAAGACAAAACTCAAAATGAATTGTTTTTTTCCCCAGCCCAGGTGGAAGTGTTACTGCCGGATTAGGTATATATGACACCATGCAGTATATTCTTCCACCAATAGCAACTTGGTGTGTTGGACAAGCATGTAGTATGGCAAGCTTGTTATTGGCTGGAGGTGCTCCAGGCATGCGCCATTCTTTACCTCATGCACGCATCATGATTCATCAACCCTCTGGACAAGCAGTGGTATGAAGTAACAAAACTCTTTCAATTTAAAATAGAAGTTGCCATGTTTCTTCCTAATTTCTTTTTCTTTCCTTCTGTATTTTTACAGGGGCAAGCCACAGACATTGTTCTACAAGCGGAAGAAATTATGAAACTGAAGAGATTAATAAATAATCTATATGTCAAGCACACCAACTTACCATTGGAAACAATAGGTATATTTTATTGTTCTTTTCATGATTATATGTTTAGTCTATTATATTTTTATTATCTGTTCATCTTGAAATGCTCTTTACTGTAACCCCTTTTTTCCTTTTGATATTTCAGAAGCAAATATGGAACGAGATAAATTTATGAATCCTCTGGAGTCAAAAGAATTTGGACTTATTGACAAAATTTTAGACCAACCACCTAAACATGGAGAGCAGAGAGATGAATCTAATTCTCAACAGCAACAACCTCATTCTGTCTGAGTTATTTTCGAAAAGAAACTTCAACATTACGTTGAAAAAAGTCTGTGTTTCTTTCTTAATAGTCACTGAAGCAAACATTTTGACTTGGACAAATTGATGACGTCCTTGACATTGTCAGTGTAAAATTTTACTGTTCCAATAAACACAACTTTTTTTCATTGCAAACATACAGTATTTTTTTAGATCCCTTATGAACTATAGTGTGCTTCACTTCTTGTCTACACTTTCTCCCCCACTAGTCTTTCCAGCATCGCGGTACACCATTCATAAAGACTCAACGAAGTAGTAAACCGTCCATTTGTTTTGTCTCTCATCTCTCATCGTTACTACCATTCAAAATGCGCGCGTCCAGCGAGCGCATGCGCAGTGCTCAGCTGCGGACGTGAGGCTGCCTCCGAAAATAGGCGGTGGCTGTGCCTTTTCTACCCCTCCCCCACCTCGTTTCACCCCCCTTGCCGCACTTGGAGAAGACAACATGGCCGCCGAGAAACGCAGCCGCGGTTCGTGGCGCACACTTTCGGAGACACTTCGGTTTAGAAACGGTTCCATCATGGCGTGTAAATAGGGAGGACGGGAGTGCGCAACGCGACCGTGTGTTCAAAAATGACTGATTAACTAGGTTTTTGCGTGTTTTCTAGTTTGATTTGTGGTGGAAAGTGAGTTTGAGTGCCTTGGATTACCGAAAATGGCTCAAGAACTTGTTCTACACAGCCCTGTTGGTGCAGAGCCCGTTGTTTATCCGTGGCCGCTCAGCTCGGGAGGAGTAAGTGTGATCTTGCCAGTGATGTGATGTGCTGTTGTGGAAAGTGCGAGTGCTTCAATTTCAATGTTTTCATACGTTGTGCATTTTCAAATCGACCAAAACATATGACCTCTACGAAGATTTGTGGTAGTGATGTGTCTGGTAACCGTGTTCAAGTTGTGGGAAAGCGATTCAGTACAGGAAGTTCTCGTCCGAGCCTAGTGAAGTTCAGACTCGTTCGTGCTTTATTTTTAGCACGTTTCTTGACTATGCTGTTTATTGCCCTCTCTATTTCAAAACGTGTGAATGTATTTGATTCAACTGATTTTTCTAGTGCTGATGTGATTGCCAGTGGTTATATTGCTTCGTGGGTTAAGGTTAATGGCCTACCCCAAAGGCTCCATTCCGAATTTTTTCATTATTATTACTTTTTGTTTTTTAATTAAGTCAGTTTGGTTTTTGCTTTTTCAAATTTATACTACTGTGAAAGTTACATAATTTTATCATGTATTCCAATGTTAATCAACATTATGGCATTTTATTGTTGGTGATGCGTTTTTAAGCCCTTGGATCTATATATCTGTGTAACTGTCACTATTAAGTTTGCCAAAATTTAGTCAATTCTAGTTTAACAAAAGTATTGTGACAAAATTTTATTTAACGGAAGTGTCTAGCCAATTATAAAATTTGAATGAATCAATGAATTACTACAATAACACCCAGTTTAGATTTGCTGTCACAACTATATTATACTCAGAAAACATTTATGTCACCTTGTCATATTATTTGTAGCAATCAGTAAAAGATATTATTCTGATACCGCTTAGTCGTCATTTTGGAAGCTCTGAAAGCTGTCACATTTCGTTCTCAGTGTAATTCCAACACTACGGTTACTGAACCTTCTTTATATCAAATGTAGGGAAATAAGTATCCTTGCTATTTTATGGTATCCCTCTTTTATGTTGAAGTCGACCAAAATAGCAGACGATCTGTTCTAGATTTTATTAAAGGGCTGAATTTTTTTGGTTTAATTTTTCGTATCGTTTCCTACACGTTTTTTTTTGTCCCTTTTGTCATCTAATCCATTTAAATATGTTTGTTTTGGTGTGGAGGTTATGTTATAGTTGTGTTATAGCTAATAGCTAATAGTTTCGTTGTTGTTGTTGCCGATGTCTGTGGAATTATGACTCAAAATTACTATGCGCCATGACCCATTTCTAACGCCTTTTTTTTTTCTCTTTTGTCTTTTAGGACAGAAGTGATGGGGCTGCTGAGATTCTGGACACTATCAGGTATGTTGGAGTTGATGTCTTCAGTGTAGTCTAGTATCTATTGGGTTCAAGACCCATTGATTCTTTCTAAAGTGTCGACGAGTTTAAGTATGTACAGTACTGACAGTCAATACGGCCTGCTTGTGTTAACTCCCTATGTTACAAAAGTCCATTACCTCGCCTTGATTTTCCCTCCCTCCGCGCCCAAATTTTCGGGATCGTTTATTCGTCCGCACTCTGCGGCGCTACTGTGTCAGTACAGTAACAGTGTCGCAGACCAGGCTCACGAAGTGTGCGCGTTCGATGAGACGTTTACTTGGCCGGGATTGTTTATGACCACCCCACTGCCCCACTCTAAGTACGTGCCGCGACCCATGAGGCCAGCGGACCGCCTCGCCGTGTCATCCCCCCTAATGACCATCCCTCCGATCCTTTTTGAGCGGCCGTCTCGTGAGGGAGTGCTGCTCGGCGTCTCGCGGCCTGGGCCAGCCACCTCACGTCGTCGCGGTCGTCCGTCGCCCGTCGCGGCGGCGGCCCGCCGAGGCGCGGCGCGGCGACCGGGCGGAGAACATCGGCAACGCCGCGTGGAATCGGCTCCGGATCGGCACCGCGCGCACCGCGCTCGGCTCGGCTCGGGTCCACTCATGATGCCCCCCACCCCCCTTCCCCTTTCCGCCCCCGCCTGACGTGCAGGAGGACCGTGCGGGGCGGGGCGGGGCGCTGCATCCTGCAAGGTCGCGAACGCAGCGAGACGTTTTGGTGGTGACCGGAGATCGCACGCGCCTCGCTCTCTAACACGCACCCATGCACTTGTCGGTGCGGCAACGCCGCCGAGTGCATTGCTTCTTGAACGCAGCTGGCCCGCGCGGAGGTGCGCCGGTGCGCCCTCGTAAAGGATAAAGCCCAGCTGTGGACTATTTTAGGGCGCCCTGGTACTCACTCGTGCCCATGCAGAGTGGGCTCGGGGCGGTCTTTGTCCACATACGGGCACACTGGCTAGTATTCTAGTACGTACTCTCCTATCCCACCTAATGCCAGTCACCCATCCATGAGTGCGACAAAGACGGAGGTACGAAAGCATTGTGCGGACTCACTCCTCCGGTTTGCGTGGACCAGGGCCTTGTCAGCTTGGATTTGGCTGTCCTTTGCCCCGCCCGAGCTAGTTTTACTCCAGGGATTCCAGGACGCCCCCCGTGGCCAGCCCAGTCGAGGCCTGCGAAGCATGTACCACCTTGCTGCCTAGCGGACATCGCCCCCTAGTGCCCCCCTCCCCCGGCTCCCC